TCAACCTTTCAATAAAGCAGTTGCCTTGCCCAGCAGCCACACATCTTCTGAGGCCTCTTTTGCTGCTTGAGAGCTGTATGTTGAATCCGTCTGATTTTTGCAGTTTTGCTCAGCACGTTTTCTGGCTTCTCTTTTTACTGAGGGCAAAAATCCAAGATATTTCTTGCTTTTCACCAGTAACAGTATCAATTAAAGCCAGTGCTTCAACTTTTATTCCACAGGAACACTTAAAACCATTTCCAGAAGTCTCTAAATGCGCCTGAAAGCTCCGAGTGGTATCTGCCCCTGGAACTGGATGTACGCACTACATTGAAAAAAGGAAATGCTCTTAAAATTTTCACCCTTGGTTTTTGCTAAACATGTGACAGTTCCCTGAGAATCAACAAAATTTTTATTGAATATTTTAAAAGGCTAGATTCCCTCAGAGATCCTTTTTTTTTTTTTTTCTATGTATTTAGTACAGGGTCTCACTACATAGATTGGACTTGTAGTCCTTCCTGTTTTTCAGCCTCCCAAGCGTTGGGATTACAGATGCGTGCCTCCACGCCCAGTCTCAATCCAAATTTCAGCGCACCTCGGGGTGGGGCCAGCATGGTGGGGCGGGGCCGGCACGGCTGGCCAGGGAGAACCCCGGTCCCTGCGTCTGCCCAAGCAGGCGTTTTAATGCACTGAGCTATCTGACCGGCCCCAGAGATCCTACTAAGAAAAGAAAACTTACTACCTCATGTGCAAAACAGAGTAAGACTCCGGAAATGCCCTCCTTTCACCGAGTGGCAACACTCCTTACCTCCTAATGCATGCAGGAAACTTGCAGGGCTGTTAGTTGAAAATGGAGGTTAATTTGAATTTAAAGTATGTCCCTTCACATCCAGATGGAAGCAATTGTGTCTGTTATGAGAGTGATTGATCCTGCATGCTTCCTTGTAAGTCGATCAAGCAATCTGAACATATTACATGTCACAAGGGAGGTGAAATTCAGTGAAGGTGTTTTGCTAGTCCCTTGACTAACTATTCTAATGCAGTTACCCAAAAAAAGAGACTCTTAAGAGTTATTTGGGGCTGGTGAGATGGCTCAGTGGTCTAAAGCACCTACTT